CTAAAACATAAATTAGATTGTGTATATCCCAGGGGCATATGGGGAAGACAAAGGGAAGGGCAGACAAGGCATAGGGTTCTATGGTACAGTGTGTGCTTTCTCATTTGCAAGCCTGAATCAAAATACAAAGAACCAATGTTTTCTTTTTAAAATGCAAAGAATAAATGGGACCTTAATTTTTTCTACTCCCCAGAAATACTTTCTAAAGTCTCACAGTACCTATATTTAAACCAAAGAGCTTTATTTTAAATTTATTGTTTGAAATAACAGCATAGTAGAGTAGTATCCTAAGAGCACATATTATACAAAATTTTAACCCCTAATTGGGTTCAAATCTCTGCCTCTACCACTTAATAACTATGACACAGACCTTAAGCAATTTCCCGATCTGTGAAATGGGGGTAATAATACAAAGGATTAAATAAGATAATGACAACAGAGAGCCTTAGTATGGTACCTTTCACAAGGAAAGCATTCAATAAATTGAAATTATTATTACTTCACAAGTAATGAATGCTCACTGTAGAAAAAGTAGAAAATGAATATCTAATAAAATTGGAATCATACTGTTTGTAATCTGCTTTCTTCCGTTTAGCAATATATTGTGAACATCTTTTCCTGTCAGTTTATATATTTCTACACCATTATTTTTAGTGGCTGCAGAGTGGCTGTAGAATGTTTCATAATTCATGGTGACCAATCTCCCATTATTAGACATGATGTTGTTTCCAATTTTTTGCTGTTATAAAAATACTTTAATGTATACTCCTTTCTTTGTGCATATCCCTAATTGTTTCCTAGAAATAGCATTATATTCAGGCAGCCCTTCCTAATGGCAACTGAAATATTTTCATGCACAGCTTTGGAGTAAGGCTCTAGAGCTGAAATCTGGAATTACTTTGAACAAGATATTTTACCTCCCCTTAAGCGTCTGTTCCTCATCTGTAAAACAGGATTAAGAGTACTCCCTACTTCACAAGGTGGCTGTGAGGATTAATAAAATAATGAAAGGAGTTCCTGGCTGGCCTGGCATGTGGATAGGGCATGGTTAACAGTTTAAGTACAGCAGACACTCAAAGACGAGGAGGCCTGCAAAACCCTTTTGCATCCGGTCTGAATCTCAAATCAGGTTCTAGTACAGCATCTGGCATAGAACAGACACTTAGAAAGGGTTCTTTATCACTGGGTGAAAGAAAAGAGATCATGATTCAAAAAATAAATGAAGCTCCTCTGTTTAAAGAAGAAAAAACAAGGCCTTTGGGGTCCACACAGACAAGATGAGGATCAAGTCCCACCTGACTCCTCCCCTGGGTCTTTGAGGCCTGTCTGGTATGACAGCTCTTAAGGTTTTCATTTCATTAGCTTCATACCAGGACCCTGCTGCTCCCTCCAGCCTCCTTGCAATCCTCCCTCAGGGACCTCTGCACTTTCTCCCATCCAAGTAGTAACCAGGGCCAACCCTGCTTAGCTTCCAAGATCAGACAATATCAGGGAGATTAGGCACATTCAGGGTAGTAAGGCCATAGACCTGACTTCTGCACTTCCTGCTGCTCACCAGGGATCTGTCAGCCTTCTGAAACTTCAGGTCCAGCTTGGGCTGCTCTTCTCTAGGAATCCTCCCTTACCACAGGGCCCACCACGGTGGCCCAGACCCTTCAGCACTGTTTCCCATGTGCCAGTGAAAGCTTCCTGAGGGTTAAGAAGATGTCTACATTTCTTGGAACCACACAGTGGTTTGCAAAACAGCAGGCTCACGAGCCTAGGGAATTAAAACCCCTCAAGTCCCCTCTCTGTGATCCCCTTAAGGCCTTCTGTTTATTCTAAGAGCAAAACTCTTGTACCAGCCCCAGGGCTCCAGCCCCAACAATTCTATGAATGAATTTTTTTTTAAATGTTTACTGAACATGAGAGCAACATGGTGCCTTTAAGAAGGCAGCTGGGGCCAGCCACAGTGGCTCACCCCTGTAATCCTAGCACTCTGGGAGACGAAGGCAGGAGGATCGTTTGAGCTCAGGAATTGCAGACCAGCCTGAGCAACAGTGAGATCCCATCTCTACTAAAAAAAAGTAGAACGAGGCTGGCTGGGCGGGCTCACGCCTGTAATCCTAGCTCTTTGGGAGGCTGAGGCAGGAGGATTGCTCAAGGTCAGGAGTTTGAAACCAGGCTGAACAAGAGTGAGACCCTGTCTCTACTATAAATGAAAAGAAATTAATTGGCCAACTAATATATATAGAAAAAATTAGCCAGGCATGGTGGCGCATGCCTATAGTCCCAGCTACTCGGGAGGCTGAGGCAGCAGGATTGCTTGAGCCCAGGAGTTTGAGGTTGCTGTGAGCTAGGCTGATGCCAAGGCACTTACTCTAGCCTGGACAACAAAGCGAGACTCTGTCTCAAAAAAAAAAAAAGTAGAGAGAGATTAGCTGGACAACTAAAAAACAAACAAACAAATAAACAATAACAACAACAACAACAAAAAATATATATATATATATATTAGCCAGGCATGGTGGCGCATGCCTGTAGTAGTCCCAGCTACTCGGGAGGCTGAGGTGGGAGGACCGCTTGAGCCCAGGAGTTTGAGGTTGCTGTGAGCTAGGCTGACACCACAGCACTCTAGCCCTGGCAACAGAGTGAGACTCTGTCTCAAAAAAATAAGAAAAAAGAAGGCTACTGGCCTACTAGCAAGCAAGAGGGGACCTGGGTGGGACTTGGCTAACCATTCTTTAGATGGGAGGAGGGACAGCATAGCCTGGGCCTGGGACGTCAGAGTAGCTCTAGCTTGGCCCCCCAGTGCTGCTAAGGTTCTCCATTCAGCTCACTTGGCACCTCATCCCTGCAAGGCCCCAGCAACAGTGAGTGAAACCAAGAAAAGTACTACAGCGAGAGGATAGCACAGCTATTAGAGCCCCAGGGGAGAATCTTCCCCAAAGAAATAGAAGCTGAGTATTAGGAGAGGTAGGGGATCACTGGCCCAGGGAAGAGAGGGAGAGGGCAGATTCTGGGCTAAAGGAACGGCTTCAGCAAAGGCCTGAGCAGATTCTTCTTGGCATGAGCAGCCACAGGCACTAGCTGGGGGATTCCCAGCAACAGGATCCTGGATTCCGGGGATCACAGCGTTGTGACCTCCTTCTGCAGGGTTCTACAACCTCCGGCTCCACACTGGGGCATGCAATGTGAGAGGGAATGGCATGATGAGTTAGAGCTGGTCAGAAGGAGCAATCAGGAAAAGTAGGAATAATTGGAGGTCTTGGAGGCATTTCCCATACAGAATAGAGATTTGCAAAAGGCATGAAGCCTTCCTCTTAAAAAAAGGATCAGAGATTACCCACTACAACCCTTAACCCTGCAGTTACCACATCATTTTGAAACCAACTGCTTATAAACCCTCACCCCCTCCCCAAAACCTCAGCTCCCCCAAGGGAGCCTGTGCGTGAGTCACTTCTGAGGCGCCAGCAACTAACCCACGGCCAGGATACAGCAAGTGCTGAACTGAGAGCGGAAATGACAGGAAGGTCAATTATGGCTCAGGAAAGGTAAGTGCTTTCTAACAATCCTAGTTGCCTCTAGCAGACCAGGATATTTGGGCGGAAACATTCTGTCAGGGAAAGTCTGCTAGCAATGGAATGCTAACAGAGGAATGCAGAACAAAAAGGCCCCCTGAGATTTCTTTCTGTTCTAAGACCCAGCCTCCTGACGCACTGCAGTGGACCCAGGAGAGGAAATGCTCTGAGGGCACCTGCTCAGTGCCAGGCACACACGTGCAGTCACTGCCTTGTTAACCCCCGCAGTCCTGTGAGGTAAGCACTATTATTATTCCCATTTGCAATGGAGGAATCTGAGGCTCAGGGAGATTCAGTAACTTGCCAAAGACAGAGCTAGGAAGATGTGGAGGTGAAATATGAACCAAGACCACCAGGCTGCCCACCTGGGCTTGGGCTGAGAGAGAGCAGCTGCCTTCCTGGCTGTGCAGGAGGCAGCTCCATGCCCTTGGAGCAGCTGAAGGCTCTCCAAGGGCAATACTATTAACTGACTTCATCTCCTGATGATGCCAAAACTTGTCAAAAGTACTTTTACATCTACAAGCCTAAGAGCCCTAAACTAACAGATGCAACACTAGGGAAAAACAGCTGGTCTGAAGCCATCTGTTCCCTGGGAGCCTAGGGGCTGCCCTCTCCTCCTAGAATCCAACGAAGGAACACAAGATGCTATGGAGGGGTCTGGGAAGGCTCTCCTGGAGGAGGCAACATCTGAACTAAGACTTCAATGATGAGCTGGACAGGCATGGGCAGTGAGGGCAGCAGTCGGGAAAGGGCATCCCAGACAGAGGAAACGGCAAGAGCAAAGGCAGAGAAGCAAGAAGCGTGTGGAGAATCACAAGCCGTTTGAGGTTACCAGAACATAAAATTCAAATTGAACAGGGGAAGGACAAAGTGATCAAAGATGTAAGCAGGGGCTACTAAATTATGAAGGATTTTGAATGCTATGCTAAGGAATTTGGACTTGATTTATCCTGAAGGCAATAAGGAGCCACTGAAGGGTTTTATGCAGAGCAGTGATAAGATCACACCTCTGCATCAGGAAGATCACTGGGGAACATAAGCTGAGCTGCTGGCAGTGAGACTGCAGGTGTGAAAGTAATGCTGGAGTAATGCAGGCTGTTCAACGCTGTTCCTACTTCAAGGATCCATAATTCCCAATAGGGCCAAACTTTCCACTCACTGGGCCCCCAAACCCATTCACACTGTCATGGACACAGGCCTGTTTAAAAGCTACTAATTCTGTGGAGTCTCCCACACATCTTTCTTTAATGACAAGACTGCAGGAGGAGAAACAATGCTAATCCCAAATGCCAATTACTGAATTCACTCCACACCAGGCACTATGCCAGGTCCTTTACACAAACAATCTCAGGTGTGCACTCAACAACCCTATGAGGTAGGTGATTGTTGTTACCCACATTTGGCAGAGGAGGAAATTTAAGTTCAGAGAGCATAGCTTACCAAAGGTCATCCATCTACTAAAGGGACGAGTCGGGATTTCAACCGAGTTCTACCTGTTGGCAGAGACTGCACTGTTAACCACTGCTGGAGAGGGAGGGCTGAGGATTCTGAGTCCTAGAGACCCTGTGAGCACACCGCCCCCACCTCTGCCCCAGATCCTTCAGGAAAATAATAGGTCAGACTCCTACCCACAACCGCCAAAGAGAGGCTAGACGTGGGAAGCCCGATCCCAAACAAAGGGATCAGGAAGGACTCTGCTCTCAGCAGTCTTCAGCTACAAGGAGAGAAACAAGGGCACGACCCGAGAAACCCGGACTGGAAAGACAGAAAAAAAGGGCCCCAACCCAACAGCTGACACGGAAAAGGGGCGGGGCTCCGAAAGGAGGCGCATTCGGGGCGGGGCTTAAAGGGGGCGGGGCTCTCTGGGCCCCACAAAGCCTGGGACCTGCGGGACCGTACGAGGGGGCGGGCCGCGAGAGGGCGGGGCCGCGAGAGGGGCGGGGCCGCGAGAGGGGCGGAGCTACAGCCGCGCTCGCAACCCACAGACTCGTTAGGTCACCTCCCCACTACCGGACCCGACCTTGTTCCATACTCTGGCTCCAGCAGGGCTGATCCGGGATCTCGATGGTGTAGTCCAGCTCAGCTGAAGCCATGGTGAAGGCGCCGGCCCTCAGTACTGGCCTCCCGCCGGAACTCCCTCTTGTGCACCCGTGCCTCACTCGGGCGCCTCCTGGGCACCGCCCAATCACCACCCACCTCCCCGACACTGCCCAATCCCTGCGCCGTGCTCTGTGACCTCCCGCCCTAGCAACCACCAAGTCGCTCTCACAGCCTCTCACCGCACCACACTAGCTCTGCTCTAGCAACCATGCCCCGCCCCACCCTAGCCCTGGCCCTCAGCCATTGGCTGGCTCTCTTGATCTGGATCAGGTATTGGTCAGCCGGGACGCCGGTCAGGAAGAGTCCCCACCCTCTTGGGTAGGTGAGAGTCCGCGGGAGAGTTGCTGTATTCCGGGAATGGGGAGGGTCTTTCGTCCAAGCGGAGTCTTACTACGTTGCGGAAGGCAGTACACTTTGACTTGCACCGTCTAGCTACCTCTGCAGTCCTCTACCAGCCGCAGCTCCGAGGGCTGGAGGTAGAAAACCGTACAGAACGGCCTAGGGGGCGCGTGCTCACCCATCCTCCACCCAGGGGGGTCTGACTAGGCGGGTGGGTGGGAGGCGGTCTTCAGTTGATGATTTTAGAGAATGCTATATTTGTGGGGGACACCAAAGGGCTGGGGAATACAGCTTTCTTGTATTTGTCCATGGGTTCAACAAATACTTAGTGAGCATCTGTTATGTGCCAGAGATTGGACTAGGTGAGGTTCCTTGGGCACTAGTGAAGATCTAGCTTCATGTTTTAATGGAAGAGGGAGAGAAACCATGCCAATTCTGTGCGGGGAATAAATACTACAGAAGAGTAAGGATAAAGCTCAGAATAGAGAGAAGGCATTTATGGCAGTGAGAATGGCTCCTGAGCTGGGCCTTGAAAAACTTGAGGAGGTAAGGAGGGAAGAGGACTCCTTGGAGGAACTCAAAGAGGGGAAAGTGAGGGACGAATGCCAGAAATTACATGCTGCATCTTTTGGCCAGAGGAGAGACTAATGTGAGAGAAATCTGGGAAGAACAGTTAGGCACAGATCCTGGAAAGTCTTTGATGCCAAGCTCAGCTCTGTTATAGGTAGATCTTGTTGATGGTAAAATTTTTCCACTGCATTTTATACCTATGGGACACAAACTTTAGACTTTACTCTGATGAAGTAGGAAGTCATTGCAGGGCTTTAAGCAGGAAGGTAACAATTAGATTTGTTTCTTAGAAAGATCAGTGCAGAGAATGAATTGGGGTTTGGGAGGAGGGAGACCAGTGAGGAAGTTGTTTTAATACTGAGAAAGAAGCTGGGCACAGTGGCTCTCGCCTGTAATCCCAGCACTTTGGAAGGCTAAGGCTGGAGGATCACTTAGGGCCTCATAGGCTTGGGCAACATAGTGAGACCCCCATCTCTACAAAAAACAAGAAAAATTAGCTGGGCATGGTGGTGTATACCTGTTGCCCCAGCGACTGTGGAGGCTGAGGCAGGAGGATTGCCTGAGTTTGAGGCTGCAGTAAGCTGTGATCACACCACTACACTCCAACCTTGGCAACAAAGAGAGACCCTGTCTCTAAAAAGAAAATAGTAGGGAAGAATTATGGTGGCATAAAGCATGGTGTGCCAGCTGAAATGGAGAGGAAGGGATGGCTAGAGAAAACTGGACTTGGTGACTGGGTGGGTGTGGGGAAGTAGAAAAAACGAATGATGACTTCTCGATTTCTGGTTTGGGCAAACAGGAAGGAGAGGAAGCAGGATTTTTAGGAAGGAGTCAGTTCTGGGCATGGTCAATCTGAGGTGCCAATGGAATATCCAAGTGGAGATGTCCATGAGGAGGTTGAATATGCCTGACTAGAGTTCACAAGATAACTGGAAGTAGAAATGTGAGTGTGTGTAGGGGCTTATAGATGCCAACCACAGCAGATTTGTTGGGCTTGCCTAGGGAGTATGTGTAAAGTAAAAAGAGAAGATGGCCTACTGTAGAGCCCTAATAAACACCTAAGTTTGAGGGTCTAGCAAAGGAGAATGAACCTACAAAGGTAATTGAGATGGAGTGTCCAAAATGTAAAAAGATCAGTAGTAAAATGTGGTGTTTCAGAAGCCAAGTAAAGAAAGTGTTGAAGGCTGATGGCTAATCAAGTAAAATAAAGTCTAAAAGAATCAGCTGGGTGTGGTGGCTCACGCCTGTAATCCTAGCACTCTGGGAGGCTGAGGTTGGCGGATCGCTCAAGGTCAGGAGTTCGAAACCAGCCTGAGCAAGAGCGAGACCCCATCTCTACTATAAATAGAAAGACATTAATTGGCCAACTAATATATATAGAAAAAATTAGCCGGGCATGGTGGTGCATGCCTGTAGTCCCAGCTACTCGGGAGGCTGAGGCAGGAGGATTGCTTGAGCCCAGGAGTTTGAGGTTGCTGTGAGCTAGGCTGACGCCATGGTACTCACTCTAGCCTGGACAACAAAGCGAGACTCTGTCTCAAAAAAAAAAAAAAAAAGTCTAAAAGAATCCACTGGATTTAGAAACAAGGAAGTTGTTGACCTTTGCAGGTACAGTTTTAGTGGAGTGATGGGAGCAGAGGTCAAATTACAGTGGCTTGCAAAGTGGATGGGAAGATTGCATGTACAATACACTTTCAAGAAGTGTGGCCATTTAGGAGAAGAAATAGAGAAGGCAATAACTGGAAGGAGACACAGGTTTTTATTCAGATGGGAGAAATGTTGTTGGCAGGGATCCAGCAAAGAAGAAAATGGTAAAATTATAGGGGAAAGAAGATAACAGAGAGTATTGCTCCTGTAAAAGGAATAAGGTAGAGGATCCAAAGCATTGGTGCAGAAATTCACTTAGAAAGGTGTAGGAACATTTGTATTATGGGAGAAAGAAAGCACATGTATTGAGATTAGTACATTGGTAAGTTTGGTGACAGGAAGCTGAAGGAATTCTCGTTTGATGGTTTCTATTTTCTCTGTCAAATAGGAACATGCTATCAGCCTGTGAAAGTGGGATTGGAATGGGGTGCATGAGGTTGAAAAGAACAGAGAAAGATTAAAATAGCAGCAGTGGAGAATGGGAGCAAAATGACTAACATAGCATACATACTTTGTGGTACTTATGATGGCCCTGTTGAGGTTGGTGACCATTAATTTGTAACAGCAGCAGTTTGCATGGTTATGTAATATGCATTTTGCCCCAAAGAACATTCAGCCACCTAGTGGTGGGTGCAGAGAGGTTCTGAATTGATCTAGGTTTGAGTTTTACCCGGTGGATGCAATGAAAAGGCAAAGGACAAGGAATTTGAGGCTCTTGGCAAAAGAATGATTGAAATGAAGGGCCTTAGGCCGGGTGCGGTGGCTCACCCCGCGCCAGGCCTAAGTAATCTCAGCACTCTGGGAGGCCGAGGCAGGCGGATTGCTTGAGGTCAGGAGTTCAAAACCAGCCTGAGCAAGAGCGAGACCCGTCTCTACTATAAATAGAAAGAAATTAATTGGCCAACTAATATATAGAGAAAAAATTAGTCAGCCATGGTGGCGCATGCCTGTAGTCCCTCCCAGCTACTCGGGAGGCTGAGGCAGCAGGATTGCTTGAGCCCAAGAGTCTGAGGTTGCTGTGAGCTAGGCTGACGCCACAGCACTCACTCTAGCCTGGGCAACAAATCGAGACTTTGTCTCAAAAAAAAAAAAAAGAAAAGAAAAGAAATGAAGGGCCTTAGAAGCTAAACTAGATAGGAGAGTGAAAAAGTCTTATGGACTGTAGGTCCCAATGAAGTCAGAGAACCTATATCTTAGGAATAGTTGAATGAGAGAGTTGTGATCAGAAAGTAGAATAATAAAATTTGAGTAGTTCCAGGTGATGACAAGGTCCAGGGTGTGGCCATGGAAGTGAATGGACAAAGTGGTATACAGGAGACAGAATGCTGCAGTGGCCATTGAAACCCCTCTGGATGGTGGCAAGACTTGAGGAGGGGGGCTGGGTGTGGTGGCTCACGCCTGTAATCGTAGCACTCTGGGAGGCCAAGGTGGGTGGATTGCTTGAGGTCAGGAGTTTGGAAACAGCCTGAACGAGACCCCGTCTCTACTAAAAATAGAAAGAAATTAATTGACCAACTAAAATATATATATACAAAAAATTAACCGGGCATGGTGGTGCATGCCTATAGTCCCAGCTACTCGGGAGGCTGAGGCAGGAGGATTGCTTGAGCCCAGGAGTTTGAGGTTGCTGTGAGCTAGGCTGACGCCACAGCACTCACTCTAGCCTGGGCAACAAAGTGAGACTCTGTCTCAAAAGAAAAAAAAAAAGACTTGAGGAGGGGAAATGTAAGAGGATGCTGGTGCACTAGGTACCAAAGTCTTTGATGAATAAAGCAGGTTGTTCTGGAGCCTCTAGATCAATAGTCCCCAACCTTTTTGTCACCAGGGACAGGTTTCATGGAAGATGATTTTTCCACAGATAGGGGTGGGGAGGGTGGGAAGCAGAGCTCAGGCAGTGATGCAAGCCATGGGGAGCACCTATAAATACAGATGAAGCTTCACTCACTCGCCTACCACTCACCTCCTGCTGTACTACCCCTCCGCATTTCCCCCCTTTCCTAACTTTCATGGAAGACAATTTTTCCATGGATGGGGATGGGGGGGGCGTGGGGGGCAGAGCTCTGTAGCTGGTCCCTAACCAGGGGGGGGACTACAGGTCTAGATGACAGCATGAGGAGGGGCAAAGGTCAGGACAGCTGAATGCCATAACCCTCAAAAATGAGTTGGGATGGGGCGCAGTGGCTCA